TCCTTGAACCAATACAACATTCTCATAAATCTTATAAATACCCAAAATTGGATAACTCTTACAACACTTCACCTTTCTTGGCTCAAAGGTTTTAAGTATTTTGTGTTCAATCTCTCTTGATATTGTGGTCATGTTGTCTATGTTCTTCAGGTTCTCTCTTTGCAGCAAAAACCATAGCTAATCCTTCTCACGATATGAGTTTCGCAATCCTTCTACTATATATACAAACGTGAAAGGGGCATTTTGAAGAATGGGAAGCAAGAATCGATACAGGAAATGGGGGTTAACAAAAGGGGATTTCGAAGAAGGGAAACAAAACAACTATCAAAGCAAACAAACATAAAAAACCTAAACCTAATATTTTCCTATTTTTATAAACAAACCCAGTGAGTTCACAAACGTGAACTCACAGTTTCAAAGAAAGGGATTGCGGTCTAGGGTTTCATACAATGGACATGGAAAAAGGGGGAGAGAAAAAAGTTGCAGAAAGAGAGAGAGAGAGAGAGAGACATACCTTCAGGCGAAGTCGAGGGTGGGTCGTCTTCGCAGGGATGGCCTTCGAGGGATGGTCTTCGAGGGCGAAGAGGAGGGTCTGCGTGCTGTCTCAAAAACAGAGGGGTTTGGGAAAAAAACTGAAAAAATTTGAAAAAAAAGGTAACCGGTTGAAGGGGTTGCCAATATTCCTAATCAAATTATTCAGTGGCTGAGATTCATTTGTAAAAATCTAATGGCTTAAAATAAATGTGTATATGATGTGCACATCTTATTGAGGTGCACATCTTAACAGCTCCCCCAATCCTCGATGCATATCTGCTCAAATCTTTTGTTTGTCAACATTTTGTGCGCTTGAGATGCTCCAAAATCCCCACAATGATCTCGACAAGACCTACGGACCATTATTATATTTTTGGCATCTTAGATTATTTTACCAAATGTGTCTGTTTCCTATCTCTATATTTTATTTTGATGATGTCAAAGGGGAAAAAAAAATATGATTTTGAATTGCTGTGCATGCATATGCATATGCTTTAAATATCTTATGTTGCAAAATTATCAATTAACTTGTCGGTTTCTATATTGTGTCAAATCTATACAAATATTGTCATCATCAAAAATGGGGAGAATAGAAAATACGATTTTGAATTGCTGTGCATGTATATGCATATGCTTTAAATATCTTATGTTACAAAATTATCAAATAACTTGTTGATTTCTATTTTGTGTCAAATCTATAAAAATATTACCATCATCAAAAAGGGGGAGTTTGTTAATCATATTGTTTAATTTTGATGATGTCTAAAATATTATTTGAAAACTTTATTTGATACAAAATATTATCTGTTTAAAATATAAATTGTATGATATATTTTTTTATAACTATTATTTAAATGGAAATATTTATATTTTTGGAAATATTTTGAAAATTTTACTGTTCACTTTTTGAAAAATAGGCCTGATTACTATTCATCTTTTGACAAATTGATTAGTTGTATTATTTTGACAAATTTGATATTGATGGGTTGTCTTGTTTTGACAAAATTGACATGGAGTGGTAGGATATATTTAGTTTAAAATCTCTACAACATATACAATATTTTAAAGAGAGCATATATTTTCAGATCCATCATAAATATTATTTAAAGAGATTTTTCTGTGTATGCAAATATTTGATTAGAACATTATATATATAATGCATATAATACAAATAGCATACATCACGGGAGCAACTATATATATTTTTTTTACACAACATTGATTGTATCATATATATTAGCATGTGGAAACATTGAATATTAGCATATGGAAACATTAATTATTAGCATGTGGAAAGTCATACATGATATAATTCAAATTAACTTTTCTTTTTGCTTTTTTTGTACACTTTTGACTAATACTTAAAGATGTTCAAATTTGCAAGAATGCAAATTTTCTTCCACGTGATTCTCTTCCAAACTGATGTCATCCATGACGTCAGCAAGGAGCGTCTTACCTCCAACGGGTATATTTTTGTGTATAAATAGAAGTGTTGTGTGTGGAGAAAAATCAAGAACTTGAAGAGAAAAATTTATGTGTGCTCTAAAATTCTGAGTATATTATATTCTACTCTTTCACTTTCAAGTCTAAGTGTAGCCTTTGTTCTTATACTTCCACAGTTACTCTTTGTGAGAGAATTATTGTAAAACAAGGTTTAAGTACCACTTATTTTTATTCATTATTTTTGTGAGAGATTTTGTAAGGGTGAGACATTTATTGTTGAGTGAGGCTCAATAGATAAGAGTAAGTCCTGTGCCAAATCCACAAGCTTGGTGGTGTATTTATTCAATTGATAGTAAAGAAATTCTCAAGGAGGTTCCTTAGGGAGTGGATGTAGGCCTAGTGTGCCGAACCACTATAAATTTCAGTGTTTGATTTTCTCTCCCTATCTCTCTTACTTTTATATTGATAATTATTATTCTATTTTTTTTATTTGTTAAAATTTTGAATATTGTGTTAATTTTAATATTGTAAAATTTTTAATAACCCAATTCACCCCCCTCTTGGGTTGCCTACCTGGGATAACACTTAACTTTTCAACTGTGACACATTTGATCATAATTTTGAATCTTGTTTTAAATAAAGACAATTGAAAATACCATTACTCAATTTCAAGGGAAAAGTCATCAATTTGATAAAATATAAACTAATTTGATAAAAATAAATATCAAAAAAAATATCTTTGAATTTTCAAAAATTATTTCTACTCACTAAAGATAAAATTATGTAAAATTGATAGATTTTTTAGACATTTATTTATTTATTAATTTTTTTCAAATTAATTTTTATTATTTGTTTGGATAATAATCATGTAATGGTGATTGTTTTTATTTTCATTAAATTAGTTTCTATTTTTTCAAAAGTCAAATATAACGACAACTTTGATGTCATTATTAAACCAATCCATTAAATCAAAAAAATCCAAAACTAAAACATTTCATATATTAAATTATATCGATTATACATTAAAAGTCTAACAACCACCCATTATATGATCATCATCTAAACACATAATAAAAATTAATTTGGTAAAAAAAGATATCTAAAAGTTTTATTAATTTTAAATAATTTTATTTTTGGTATGTAGAATTTATTTTTAAAAATTCAAAAATATTTTTTTGATGTTTATTTTTGTCAAATTAGTTTATATTTTATTAAATTGACGACTTTGCTCTTAAAATTGAGTAATGGTATCTTCAATTATCATTTTTTGGAATAAAATTTTAAATTTAAGGTCAAATGTGTAACAATTAAAAAGTCAGGAACCCAAGTAACACGGATCCCAAACTATAGAGACTGTTAGTTTGTTCCCTCAGTTCTTCTTTTATACATTTCTTTTTTCTAGACACACAGAAAAGAGTATCGAAAGTGAAATAGCTATTTAAAAAAATTAACTACTTAACAATTGACCAACGGAATGAAATATTATTATGCAATTTGAAACGTGTGGAAGGAAATATATTTTTCAAAACTTGATGAGAAGATAATATGTATTTTAAATTAATTTGTAATTTATCTTTTTTTCAATGCCCCCATAAGAGCATCTCCAACAGTATAGCCATTTTGTGCTATTAGCCATAGAAGCGAGCTTGGAAGGGTAAAAGATGGCTCCAGCAGACTCGCTCAAGCATCGCTAAGATGGTTGTGAGCTACAGTACCATGCCAGGACAAGGAAGGTACTGTTCATGAACCATTTAATTTTTTATTTGTTTTTGGCTCCTGAATCTTGTTTTTGGTGGTAAAATTTTTCCCTTATTTTGGCGCTAAAAGTTGTATCAGTACCTCCCCAACAAATCCATAGAGAAAGCATTACAAATCTCACAAACTCTCTCATCCTCTCTATCTTTTTCTCAAACTTTTTGCTCAAGGGAGGTAGTAAATTTTGTCATTTATGTTTGTTTGTCTAAGTATTTGTATTGCACACCATATGTTTGTTGTAATTTCTGTTAGAATCTAGATTGTAAATTGTACCCAGTTTATGCTTTCTGTTTGTTTGTTTCATATGCTTTCATATAGATTGTCATTTCTGTTTGTTTCATATGCTTTCTATTGACATAAATTCCATAGATAGAACACTTTAAACATAAATTCTCTTATGTTTGGTGCATGTGCAACCTAAAATGTCCTTAATTTGTTTTTCTATATGCTGATAAAAAAATATTTTATTTTTTATTTTGTGCTTAGTTAGTTGATAGTTTCTTACCCTTCTTAACTGTTGATGATTTATTATTTATTATTTTTTAAAAATTTGTGGTTAATAGCAAATGTAGTAAGAATTAACAGAGTTTTTAAAACAAGTACAAATTCATATATTGTTTGTATCTATAACTACCAAAGTCGGTTGACAGAAAAGTTGATATGCTAATCTCTGTGTGTGTAGTTGGACAATCTGAGGAAACAAATTCATATATTTAGACAAATTTTAATGAATAAACTTTACTAGACTTCGAAATGGTCTAAATTAATGGTAGTTGAGTGTAATTGAACAATTTACAGGTAGATGGCTATTATTAAACAAAAAAACCTGCTTCAATTATACATCAGCATCATCATCACCAACTCTTAGCCACAAACTTAAGGCAAAACCCAAAAGCAAGCAATTACCAAATTAGTACTACCACCTTAGGAAAGACTGTTAGATAATGAAAACAGGGTACAAAATAGAAATGGAGATGAAACACCTCCACCTCAACAGAACAGAGACCCAAATTACACACTCAAAACTATGTTTTCTAAAGTAAGTAGTCTCAATCTATTTATAAATAAAATGGGAAATAGAGATAACTTTTGTTTGATACTCCTAGCACATGTTGTAACTTGTAATGACTTATTGTTTTGGCATGTTTCTTTGTGTTTTGGTGTGCTGATAGGTTTTTGGTCAATTCGATGGAAACATAAATAAATAAATAAATTGTTCTCTGCTCTACACTGCTTTCTTAACTCTTATTTATTATTCAATCATAGGTATGGATTCACAACAAGATGGTTACTTTATCAATCTTTTACAAGAAAGGCCCAACATTGATGAACATTATTTGATGGAATCTCAATATTTGAATCAAAATACTCAAGTATTTGCCCAAGAGTCTCAATTTACTGCTGAAATTGAATCTTTGTCGAAGAAACCTCAACGTGGAGGAAACTTCACAATAGAAGAAGACAAACTCCTTGTATCGGCTTGGCTTAATATTAGTTTAGATGCGGTACATGGGAATGAGCAAAAACGCTCTACCTATTGGAAAAGAGTATGGGATTTTTTCCATGAGCACAAGAAATTTGAGTCTAATCGAAATGAAAATTCTTTTATGAATCGATGGTCAACCATTCAGCTTGACATGAATAAGTTTTGTGGGTGCTGTGCCCAAATTGAATCATTGCATCAAAGTGGCATAAATGAGGATGACAATGTATTGAATATTGTACATCTACAATTATTATTATTTTTGAAGTTGCTACATATTATTTATTTATTTAATTTTCAGATTTGCAAGGCGAAAATTATGTACAAGGAACTCAAGAAATCTACATTCCAATTCGAACACCGTTGGATTATGTTAAGGGATCAACTAAAATGGGTGGTAGAGTCTGAGAAGAAAAAACAACCAAAAAGACCAAGAATAGGAACAACCTTTTCTCCTTTTACTCCGGATTCGATAAATTTAGGGGAAGACGATGTCTTACCTAATGCTTTTGTAGACTTGGAGAGACCAACCGGTAAGAAGGCTGAATGGAGCGATTGAATAAATGAAAGAACAAAGAAAGCGTACATTCGAGTATTACAAAACTTTGGAGGACATCAAGTAAGACAAAAAGAAAATGATTGACAAGAAAATTGAAATAAGTGGAACTTCGTATCATGCAAGAAAAGCAAGTGGTGAAACTTGAAAAGCATGAAATGAAACTTTTCAAAGAGGACGAAAGAGTTATTTTCATGGATCTCAATGGCTTGCCGGAAATCCAACAAGAATTTTATCGTGCTCGGCAGATGGAAATCATTAAGAAAAGAAGAATGAATTAGTATTCATTCTTTCTTTGCTCTTTATGATATTTTGGCTTTTGTCTAGTAGGCTAGAAACTTGATATATGATATTTTGGCTTTTGCTTTTGGTTCTGCTTTTGTCTAGGATAGATGTTGAACTTAGCAATGTTTTGGTACACAATGTTAGTTGTCTAATCAGATGCTGTTTGTGCTGTGTTGTTCTGCTGCTCTTTGTGCTGTGTTGTTCTGCTGCTCTTTGTGCTGTGTTGTTGCCATTTTTGGCCTGTTTTCTAATCTGTTTTTGTTGCTATTTTGCTGGTGTTTTGGAGCTGTTTTGATGGTATTTTTAGGCTGTTTTGCTGCTGTTTAATGTAAGTACTAATATTTACTTGTTCTTAGCTTTTGAATCCAAAAGTAGGTTGTGGTTGAGACGGGGCAACAACTAGTACTAATTGATTAATTGTTGTTTAGCTTTGAGCATTGATGAATGATCATCAAAGATGGTATTGGGGAGGAGTGATGTGTTTAAGCTTGAAATGATGTAGTTTGGTGGTTGGGCAGAATCATAATGAAATGGATTGATGTATATATGTAAAAGATTTATAGTTTTAGGATACCAATGCAGGTCTCTTTAATTTTTATCCAAAATGGCAGGAGAAGGTTTAAACTTAAAAGAATGTTAAGTGCGTGCAGAAAAACCGTTTAGTCTCTGAATTGGAATATAATATTGCCCAAGAATGAGTGGAAATTTGAAGGAGAATACATATAAACTTGGCAAAATAGTTAAGAATTTGGGATGGAACTTAATTTGTGGGCCTTGTCAACTTGCTTGCTCTCTAGTGCTTTTGTATGGACTATTAAGCTCAACATTGGTTTCTATCCATACAATTTAATGGAATGATATGCTATGTGAGACACAGGTCTGCTACAGTGTTATGACATTTTTATGATATATGAATCTTCTACCTTTTGATGGTGTTTTTGGGCTGTTTTGCTGCTACAGGTCTGCTACATGTTTTTGAACTGATTTTGCTGCTGTTTTGTTGCTATTTTTGTGGTGTTTTTGCTACTATTTTGCTGGTATTTTTGCTACTATTTTGCTGGTATTTTTGTGCTGCATTTTCTCTACATTGCTAATTATATAGATATATATATAAAAGACATATAATTAAAGTGAAAACCATATAATTAAAAGACATAAAATTAAAATGATATACTGATTAGAAAGGGCTTGTTCTTGAAGGTGTGCCAGAGGAAGGCATGGTAGCCTATTGTGAAGAATAGGCTCAAGGGGACTAAAATTGTGTCCAGATAGAGAATCACTCCCATCTTTCAATTAGGGGCATCCAATAGACTCTGAGATGGTTTGGTAGCAAAACAGGCTTTATAACACTAATCTCTCCCTTTAAACTATTGAACCTTCTCAAATTCAATGTTGATGGTTGTTATTTTATTTTTTTTGGTTTACATGCCATGGTACTAAATCTATGCAACAGAATGGGATTGCATAAATCTATCCTTTCTTATAGTCCCGCTGCTTGGATCTCCAAACCATTACATATGTTCTTGAGAAAGTTTCAAAGGAACTTATCAGATATTACATTTTCAACTCATCAAATTCAACTTGCCTTCAATTTTTTTGAGTACCAAGTTTTACTAATGAGGTTTTAAATTTTCAAAAGTTCTATTATCTCTCAGAAATTTTTCTTTATAAAAAAAAATATATAGTATTAGTGTACGTAAGTTTTAACGAATTACTTTTTTTTAATTGTACATATAATCTCCTGCTTCAATCCTCACTTTTTTTTCTTTTTTATTCAGAATCTCTAAGAAATCAGAAAAAAATATTTTAATATTTTAAAATTCTAAGAAATCAGAATTTTACTATAAATATTGATATGTGATTTAGATTTAATGCTATATAATAATGTGATGAGTACCTGTGATGGAGAGGAGAGAGAGAGAGATTTTCTTACCATTAGATTTTGATGCCGTTGATGCTCAAAGATACCATTAGAGAGAGAGAGAGGAAATGAAGATATCCTCACCATTGAAATTTAGATGGGACAATTTAAACCGTTGGATGAAAATGTATCTCTCATACATTTTCACACATTTTCAAAAAGCTTCTTCCCTTATTATATAGATATATTAATATTGGATCAAAATGTATCTCACATACATTTTGATACATTTTTCAAAAAGCTTTGTGTCTTATTATATAGATTTAACAGTATAGTAAGGATTTTCAAAGTTGTCCATCTATTAAATGCATTCAAACTAATAGACACATTGTCTTCGAGTTAGACACATTATAAAGCATATACTGATTACATTCAAAACTAATAGCATACTATATAAAATGAAACTTCAAATTCAAAACTTTTACAACTCGTTGTGTAATTGCCACAAGTGTTCGACAAGGTCCGATTGGAGCTGAGAATGTGTTTGCCTGTCTCTAATGTTATGATGACATTGAATGAATTCCATAAGTTCAGTAGTTCTCTCCTGTAACACTGTTACATGGGGACTGTCATCGATTTGATTATAATTGAAGTCTTTTGCTCCATTGTCATCCCGCTCATCCTCAATGATCATATTATGTAGAATTATGCACGCCTTCATAATATATTTAAGCATTTTAGTATTCCAAAAACGTTCCGGTCGACGCACAATTGCAAATCGTGCTTGAAGCACTCCAAATGCACGTTCTACATCTTTTCTTGTTGCCTCTTGAGTTGTCGCAAAAAGTTTTTTCTTATTACCTTGAGGAGAAGGAATTGTTTTCACAAATGTTGACTATTGTGGATATATACAATCGGCAAGATAGTATCTCATTGTATATTCATTACCATTGATGGTGCAATTGACTGTAGGAGCATGCCCTTGAACAAGTTCGGTAAATACAAAAGACCTTTCTAGCACGTTAATATCATTATGAGACCCAGGTAATCCAAAAAATGCATGCCAAATCCAAAGATCATATGATGCAACAGCTTCCAAAATAATTGTTGGTTCATAAATGTGACCAGTATACATACCTTTCAACGCAATCGAACAATTTTTCCATTTCCAATGCATACAATCAATGCTCCCCAGCATTCCAGGAAATCCACGACTTTCACCAACCGCTAGTAGTTAGCGATGTCATTGCTGCTTGGTGACCTCAAATACTCATTAGAAAAAATATCAACAACTGCTTTAACAAAATATTTTAAGCTTTCTATTGCAGTGCTTTCTCCAATTCTCACATATTCGTCCATAAAATCAACGGCTACTCCATAAGCAAGCATCTTAAGTGCAACAGCTATCTTCTGAAGAGAAGACAAACCAAGCTTTTCAGCACAATTTCTCTTTTGGAGAAAGTATGGATCGTGCGCTTCTACTGCAACTTGAATTCGAAGAAAAAGTGAACGCTTCATCCGAAACCTCCTTCGAAATAACTCAGGAGGATATACAGGCGATTCAACAAAATAGTCGAGAAAAAGCCTTTCATGACCTTGAATATGATCACGATGAATGACTTTACGACCTCGAACAGAACCACGACGTGAGCTTGATCCTATTTCACTATCTAGTAGTTCTTTATCCATAGTAATAGCTTTGAGCATCTCCAAATCATCATCAGATTCGGAGAAGTCAGAGTCATTTACAAGCATATCATAAAGAGAATTGGAAGCCATAGAGAGAGATATGGAAGTTTGGATGAAGTAGAAAATTGAGTTGAGGGTAAGATCAAATGATAGGGAATGTCTTATTTATAATCATTCCAGGAAATCCACGACTTTCACCAACCGCTAGTAGTTAGCGATGTCATTGCTGTTTGGTGACCTCAAATACTCATTAGAAAAAATATCAACAACTGTTTTAACAAAATATTTTAAGCTTTGTATTGCAGTGCTTTCTCCAATTCTCACATATTCGTCCATAAAATCAGCGGCTACTCCATAAGCAAGCATCTTAAGTGCAACAGCTATCTTCTGAAGAGAAGACAAACCAAGCTTTTCAGCACAATTTCTCTTTTGGAGAAAGTATGGATCGTGCGCTTCTACTGCAACTTGAATTCGAAGAAAAAGTGAACGCTTCATCCGAAACCTCCTTTGAAATAGCTCAGGAGGATATACAGGTGATTCAGCAAAATAATCGAGAAAAAGCCTTTCATGACCTTGAATATAATCACGATGAATGACTTTACGACCTCGAACAGAACCACGACGTGAGCTTGATCCTATCTCATTATCTAGTAGTTCTTCATCCATAGTAACAGCTTTGGGCATCTCCAAATCATTATCAGATTCAGAGAAGTCAGAGTCATTTACAAGCATATCATAAAGAGAATTGAAAGCCATAGAGAGAGATGGAAGTTTGGATGAAGTAGAAAATTGAGTTGAGGGTAAGATCAAATGATAGGGAATGTCTTATTTATAATAGAAAAGTATAAAAATATAACCGTTGTAAAAATATGACCTTTGTAAAAATTTGAAAAAATATGACCGTTACAAAAATATGACCATTTGAAAAATATGACAGTAGAAAAATGTAACTTTCACAAAAATATAATTATATTTAGAAGAATGAAAAAAATAATAATTTGAAAGAAGTTAGTTTTTTTTTTTTTTTTTAGATTGGAAAGAAGGTAGTTAAAGTATAAGAATATTTTAATAGAAGATAGCTAAAATATATAACCTTATTGGAGTGTATATTAAAAAAATAACTAGTTAAAATAATAAAGTGAAATTTTGAATAGGTATTTTAACTATT